CGTGCGCTCATCAGTCCGTGTGGCTGACAGCTTTGGCTCTTGGTATTGCTTCCCTTATCATACGCTGGTCAGGCTTGTGTCTCTGTATGTGTTGTTGAGGGCCGCATCCTTTTCTTATCCCCTTCTGCACTGAAAAGGTCCTTCACCAGACACCCTCAAGGGGACAGACACTGTCTCCCTCCTCACACCCTTACACTATGTCTGTTCACCTGAGCATCACACGCACACATTTCTTGCAGTGCTTCATTCACAGCTACTCCTGTGCAAGGTGGGCTTTCTCCGATTTAGAGACTTCTACGTCTCTTTACTAAATTAGACTTCTGGTCCCTAAAGTCTAATGCAGAGAAGGTCAGAAATGCCTTTCCATTTCCTCTCTCTCTGAAGCCATGACATCTAGCGGTGGATGCTTTTCATTTCAGGTACACCATCTCCTTGGAAGTCGACATTTACTCTAGCTTCACTGTCATTATTTAAAATTTTATATTCTATGGCTAGATTAGTCCTTATGTAGTAAGGTTATTTTGAAATTAAATCATCATTCTTTGCTTTTTGGCTGACGGTTCTTTGAAATACATTTACACATCAATCAGCAATAAAAAAAGACCTTTTCAGTCAGGAGAACACTTGTCAAAATGTGAAGCCTTGAGTACTCCTGGAACGAAATGAGGAAAAGATCAAAATCACCACTTCATGTTCCAATAAAAAAATACCATTTACAAGAGGTTGGGATGTTGCTTGTCAAGAACAGATTGGTAAGGTGTGAATCAAATGTTGAATGCTCAGGAACTGAATTATGCTTGTGATGCACTACTGAAAGACATTTGGAAAAGCAGCCATGGAAAAACTGTACGATATTTTTAGCAACTTGGAGCAATTTCTGGAGCACTGTTTGCAATGGCTGCAGTGAGATGTGAAAGGATGAAACAACCAAGGTGCAGGGAAGGCCGCGGTTCATTTCTCAGTTGAAAGGGTTTGGAGCAGTGGAGATGAAAGGGAAGAGTTGTTCCCACATGGGTAAGTTATAGATGCTGATTATAGAGATAGGCCATAATTGCGGAAGGGTGAGAAACAGAGTACTTGAGAGGCCATTTTGACGCATTTGGTGCTGGAAAGGGAGGAGGACAGCTGCCTCCCGAGGAAGCACTGTAACGCATGGACGGCTGTAAAGGAACACTGCTGTGTGAGGTGGCCTGGAGAGGCGCTGCCTGCAGCGCTCTCACAAGACTGGCAGGGCACCAAGGGGACAGCATTTGGAAGCCCTGTCGTGTCTGTTAACCTGCCGTCCATGCCTCATCCGCTGGCAGGCGGGGAAGGTGCAGCCTGCCGTCCCCAGCCCGCAGCTAAAGCCCCAGCTGCCTGGCTCCCCGCGTCTGCCATCAGCAGGCCGCCGGGCAGCGCCTGACCCTTCGCGGGACCAGGGCAGGAAGGCTGAGGGGGGCAGGGC